GCCTGTTCTCCGGTTGCCCCCCCCCCCCCCCATCCTTCCCCCCTCCCCCAGGGTGGCTGCTGCCCGGACCTGCGGCTGCTGGAGGTGAATGCGGAGATCAAGCAATGCACCCAGCACTTCCAGCTCCCCATTGAACAGCTCCAGGCCGCCTGTCCACAGCTGCAGGTGTGTGGGGGTCCCTCCTGCCCCCTTCCCAAGTCAGAACCTGACTTCCTGGCTGCTGGGGGGGGGGGGGGGGCTGGCTCTTCCAGAGGAGCCCTGGGGGTGGGGCTGTTTCCTGCAGCCCGTCAGCAGCTGCTCTGCCCGCTCCTCCTGCCCACAGGTGCTGCGGCTGCTCAACGTCACCTACTACCCAAAGCAACTCCCCGCCTCGTCCCCACCGTCCCTGGGCTTCCCACAGCTGGAGGAGCTGTGCCTGGCCACCACGGCCTTCTCCTTCGTGGACAACCACATGCTGTGGCGCATCCTCAGCGCCTCCAGCCGCCTCCGCGTCCTGGACCTGCGTGGCTGCGTCCGTGTGACGCCCAAAGGGCTGGAGCGGCTGACCTGCCCAGGTGGGTGCAGAAGAGGGGGCTCCCCTGTTTCCGGGCAACGCGTTAGGTTCTCCTCTCCCCTCCTTAGCCTCCAGCCCCACACTGGGGGGGGGGGATCTGGGTGTGGGAAAACAGCCCCCCCACCCCGTAGGCTCCTGTTTCCTGCAAAGGCAGCAGAAGGCGAGACCAGAAGCAACAGACGGAAACTTGGTTTGGCCCGGCCTCCTCCTGGCAGGGCTGAGCGAAGGTCACCCAGCTGGCATCGGGCCTGGCAGGACCGGAGTGCCCGGGTTCCAGCCTGATGCTCCCCCTCCGCCCCAAACGGGGGGCGTGGATGGCATCCCTGAAGCCCGCCCACCCACCAAAGGGACAGGGTCTTGCCTCCCCTCTTCTTCCCTGGACGGCCGCGGGGGCCTTCAAGAACCGGGGTGTCAGCCCAAAACTTGGCTAACAGGAGCTTTTACGTGTGGCTCTTTGGAGGGTGGGTGGTTTATGGGGGCCACCCTGAGATCCAGGAGACGTTCGCACGCACCCTGTCAAACTCAGCCCCCTTGCAGTGGAGGAAGTGACACGATGTGAAGGAAAGTGAGGG